GCAGATACATGCAAAATCTCTTGAATTGTGAACAGTATAGAGTTAGACAAAGGATTCACTCATTTAAACATCCTTTGGGAATTGTTGCTAAATTCTCAGGAAGACAGTGTAAGAATAGGGCATATATAGAACCATTTTTCTTTCCCCAGCAATAGCCCCTCAGCTTTCATCAGTCTGCACTTGTAGCTGTATCTGTTTCTTAACAGCCTTTAATAGATACCTCTTTCATGACTGCTTTATGAGTGCAAACCAAAATAATCTTTGCAAATGAATCCCACTGTTTAACAGCGTGCTGCTCAGAAAGGAAAGTCCTATTTGTTTTAATCATGCTGCCTGATTATTTTATTCAGTGCCCTCTTAGTTTTGATTTCTGGGAAACAGCAAATAGTTGCTCCTTATTTACACTCTGTCTGCAAGTAATGACTTTATGTGCTATCTCCTCTTTTCTCCTTTCCAGGATGCACAGTTTTATTTATCCTATACAACCTTCTCTTGTAAAGTAGCCAAATCTTATCATCCCTGTTACCCACCTCCTCAGTGTTTCCTGGTTCTACATGTCTTCCCTGAGACAGGGAGATGAGACACGTCGCTCAAGACACAAAAACTCTGTTCTTATATATAAGATGTCTGTATAATGATGACTTCTGTCTTTCTCTCTGTTCCCTTCTGAGCAATATTGACGAGGCTATTCTGATGTTTTTACCTCTGGTGAGCACCAAGCTGATATTTTCAGAGAACTATCTGCAGTGACTCTAGGATTTCTCCCTTGACTGGTAATAGCTCACTAAGGCCATGCCTAGGACAGGACATTGAACTTTGCCAGAGAGACTGATCTTGGGCACTTGCATTGCACTTGTGCTACTAAACAGCTACAGCTGTTCCCAGTGCAGTACTGTCTATGCCAGCTAGCTCTCTACCAAGCTATTCTCAAATGTGGTTCAAGATTCTTAAAGCGCAGGTCATTGTCTGCCAGGAATAACTTCTAAGAGGTAGCCTGAATGTAGCCACACAGTTTGAGAAGGTTGAAGGGAATATGACAATGGGCATGTGTGACCTTGGTGTCAAAGACCAGTCCTAGATACGCTAACATACAAGTACTCACATTGTGTTATCATCTATCAGTAATATGTGCAGGTACTTTTCCCATGGCATAATTGCATCTTATTGTTGGATTTCACCGGCCATTTTAAAATGTAATCCCTGAATATCATGGGATTTGATAACCTTTGAAGACAGTTTTACTTTTGATGACTTTGAATGATTTTGTATAATCAGAAAAATAACTGTTGCTTTACTACTGAGTCATTTAGGACTGTATGGAATAGCATGGACCTCAGGCCAGTCGTTGCGAATGTCACTCTCCTTCTGGTATGAAACAGTTATTGTTTCTGTTTTTCTTCTAGTGGAATAACAGCCCATTTATCCCACAGTAACTTGGCTGTTTTAGTTTTCTAGTTGTAATATTTTGATCAACTACCGTTATCCACATTTTTAGTTGAATCTTTCAAAGAACTAATAGATGCAGGAGGCATGATCCTCATCTATAAAATTTATGGGATATCTTCCCCTACACGGGACATCCATCCACTTCCATTTGCTATTGTACCTTCAACCATTTCCCTGGTAGACAATGGTAGAGAATTCAGATGTGCTGGTCTGTAGTTTCCTAGCTCTTTCCAGATGGTCTTTATGCCTCAATTCTCCATCTGTAAAACTGTGATGCTGCTAGTTCACAAACTAATAGGCTTGCAATGAAGACTAATTAATGTCTGTTTCTGAATCACGCAAATATGAGTAATATGAATGGCTATAAGGCATTTAAACGATTCGGAGAAGGGTTTGTCTACAAAGCAGTAAATAAAAAGGGAGACCAAACAATGAACAGCAATAAATAAAATACTGAACTACTGAACAATTTATGTGCTAAATAGGGGTATAAAGTATAAAGCTGAAGGGGAAGATTATCACTCCCCAAGTCTGTTCTTTAGCTTCTCCAGAGCCAAGAGACATTCCCACCTCTTCTCAGGAAAACAAAACAAAACAAAATGAGATCTATTCAGTAAAGAAAATGAGAATTCAATAGAATTCTTAGAAAAGAAGTGTATGATTTCTATTCTCACTTTGCCTAGCTTAAACTTTAATCCATGCACACAAAATTATTGTATTGGGAGGGGAGGAGTAGAAGTTAGAGAGTCCAAACAATATAAATAAGAATAGAGAATCTCTACCATATAAAAAATTTCTTAATACTGCAGAATATATACATACATTTTAAAAGGTTATTTTCATTCTACAAGGTTCCCAAACAAATCACAGCTTAATTCTGCCTTGCAATAGGGCCTGTTCCAAAGATCTTTGAAGTTTCTAAATGACTCAACAGGCTTTGGATCGGGCCCTAAAGTAGTAAAATCTATGTTGAATGCTTATAGATAACCATTTAGTCAGCGCTGGTGTAAGAAAAGAAAAAGAAAATAAATTAAATACATCTTCCAATGACATAAGCCTCATGAAGAATTAACTAGGATAAGTACTTACTCTAGTTGGTGCACTGTCGATCTGAACAATGCAGACAAAAATAATAATTAAAACATAGCTTCATGCTGAGATGAAACTTTCAAGAGTCTCTACTGTGTTAAGCTTATGATTTTTCTGTTTTTGTATTTGCAAGCATAATTATGTCCCAGAGGCAACAGGAGCTAGTGCTTGTCAGTCCCCATTTTCCCCTCTGATAGGAGATTAATTTCTTTACACAGAAATCCAAAATTTGATGCCAGAGCAATAATAATAATGTAAACAAGTCTTTTATTCTTTTAATCTGGAATGCATAATTTAATGGCATAGCCATATAAATAATGAAAATACCACATCTACTTTAGACAATTAAGGGTAAACTGAGGGTAACATTTAATGTAGTATTGATTGACTATATCAACAAAATGACGGCAGACATCTGTATGGATGCGAGCAGTCAGGAAAATGCAACCAAATATATCAATACAGATTAAGCAGGGAAGGGATGGAGTAGACTTGGTGACTCAGAGGACTGGTAATGGAATATGGAGCCTTTCATCTCCAGCACACTGATTCAAAGCGGCCCAGGTCAGTCTGTGACTGAAAGTCGTTACCATCAGGTGGCTCTTCAGTGAAGAGTTTGTCCTAATGGCAGGCTATCTATGTCACAAAATGCACCATCTATCATGACTGACATGTGTTGAGATTTCCAGCTGGAAGGCTGGAATGAGAGAGGATGGTCTCTGCAGTTCCTTCACCTGGGGTGTAGTGGAGGGTACGGACTGTTTCTGTGGCTTGCTCTGCCATGGGCTGTGCTGCAGAGGTTTTAGGAACATGAGATTTTAGTGAACATGGTGCTAAATACTAACCAACTGAAGAGCAAGAGGAAGGTACCTGTGCTGAAGAGATTGCAACTGAAATGTAAGGGAAGACATGAACTGGCAGACAGAAATGATAAAAATGGGATAACTAATCAGGCAGTACCAATTAGCATGACAGAAATAGGTTCAGCACACCAGCAGCATCAGGTTGCAGTACATATCCTGCCATACTTGTGTTTTTGAATGGATTTGTTACATAGGGGACAGCACAACAGAATTTTTTTTTTTTTTTTTTTTTAAATGAATGAAGTGAAATCAAGCATACTGGGTAAGGCAGTAGTGAGAAGTATTATATTAAAGCTAAGTGAGGAACAAGATAAGATGGGAACAAAGGCCTTCAAAATGAAGGCAAAGTGCTTACAGAGTCAGTATACAGATGAGAAATGTTGGAGAGATGCAAAGGGGGGAATGACAGACAAAGGAATGAGATAAGGGGATTATTTCTTTCAGCAGCAGTTCTGCTTGGATATGAGCAGAGCAAGACTGTATCTGTCAAAGCCGCAAAAAATGACATTGTTATGAAGTGACAGGAGCATAAAGACAGTTTTAGGTTGGATGGGCAATACTGTACCTTTTGAGTTCTGGAGAAAGATGTTACCTTAATATAGACTGAATGTTAGCATCAATTAAATTGCTTATTGGCAACATTTGGTCTGAATCCTAAGTGAGAGATGAGACATACCTTTAATTGATAATGAGAGCACAATGACTGTACCACAAATAATTATTAATGTTCTCTTACATCTTCGAGCTTGACCTTATGGTTAGACATACACAAGGAGATACAGGTTAGACAGTAGACAAGTTATTGCATTTTAGGGAGATAGTTTTATGCAGTTAATGTTGTCAGCTTGGAACAAAGAAGTTGAGCATCGTTTCTCAGCCTTTGATCTACGGAGCTCAAAAGGTTCATGAACTGCTGCAAAAAAAAAAAAAAAACCTACACAAAATATATATGTATTTTTTTTTAAAAAGGAAGCTTATTTTCACTTAACTTTGACTGATTTAGCTCAACTTCTATTGAAAAATTTTTCACAAATCTTGAAGTTGAAAACCACCGCATAGAAGAATAAAAACAGACTCCTGTAAATTGTCAAAGTAACATGATGATTTTGTGAAGAAATGAAAGGTGAGAGAAACAGGAAAAGACAGTCAGTGAAAACAGCAACCCATGCATTTTCTTTGAAATTTTGTAAGAAAAAATAAAACCATGTTACTTTAAAAAAAAAAATTAGATTTTAAAATTCATATGGCCAAAAGATATGGCAACAAATTGATGGGTACGCCAAGATTAATGAAAGGTACCAGTTATTCCTCCCTGATTCATATACATTTCAGTTATAGTTACATATTCAGTAATTCTATTCCTTGTGTATTTATATCCATCACAGATTACAAATTTCCTAGGATGAATATACTCCACACTGTCTGTAAGCAGTACTTGGTGTCATCTGGATGTCAGCTGCCTCTAACAACCATCTGACCAACATGCATGCTTTCTCTGCAGAAGCCTTGCAATGGGAAATAAGCATGCTTTTTTTTTTTTTTTTTTTTTTTTTTTTAGAGCAAAGATTAAGATTGAAGAAATTCAGAACAGTGCAACTAAAAATTGTGAAGATTTTTCAGTGGTTGTAGAGATCTTTTTCAAGAAGTCATAATTCATAACATAGATTAACTCTTTAAGGTTTCTGGTCCTAAATTTATCACTTAGAATAGTAACTTGGGGATGGAATGAGTATCATCAGCAGGTGAAATTACATGGAACTGAAATTGCACTGAGTGTATTTTGCTACAACGTCTCACAAGGACAAATTCCTCAGCAGTTATTTGGGTAACACAAAACCAAGTGTCTGACTGCACTTATTCTGATATGTCTTCATGCTGTGTTTTTGTTTGGTTTTGTGGTTTCTTCTTGTTTGGTTGGTTGTTGTGATTACCTGGTCCAAAAACAAGTGTAATAGCCATGATAGCTCTTCTACACATATTATATTCAAATATCAATGAGCGTAATAATTAATTGGGTTTAACTGAATTGTATTAAAACAAGTAAACAAAATATTTAACTGCATATGGTTCTTGGTAAGAGTATAAACAAATAAATTGACATTTCAAATTCTGAACACAGAGAAATTAGAAAAACCAGAGAGAAAGCCTCCTGTGGGTGCGACACTCTCTGTCCCATGGGGCAGGTGCCTTGGGAAGCAAATATGTTCAGTGAGCTGCTTGATTCCAAGGAGTTACATACTGTTTAGTGTGAGGACTTTCTGCAGAAAAGGTACAAAAAACAGCATGCGTCTCCTCAGCTGAATTTCTAAGAAATCTGTTTTGTTTCAGCCCTTCGACTGTTTTGTTTCGCCCAGAAACGACTGGAGAAAACCCTGTGGTTTGGCACACAGGCCAGGCAGAAACTCTGATGAATCAACTTTTCTCTAGGCTCATTCTCCACTCTGTATTCATGTCATCCTTCTAGATGGGAAAGTTCAGCTGGGTAGGGCTTTCACTTCCCAAGTTGCAGAGGTAAACAAATGCAAATATTTCTTGTTGTGTATCTTTACTCCAGAGGAGTGTTACACTTGATTATCAGCTGCCATTTTGCAGGAGGCGAGGCACGTCCCTGCCATACTAATCAGTGAGAGTCCGAAGAGCCGAGGGCTGACTGCCTGCGCCAAAGTAATGAATGATGTTGCAGAGGACCTGGTGGTGGAAGATTACCTGACAGGGTTAGTAATTCACCATATGCATGGTTTTTGGTCCTTAAATGTAAATCCTGACTCGGGTGGGCTTCTATTATGAAGCAAGTATCCGACTGCTTTGAATTTTACCCGCTTAGCATAACATTTCTCACACAGGTAGGCAAAGAGCTGTCAGAACTGAGTGGCACTGATGGATGTGGTTAGCTGATGGGTTGCTGGTTGGACTAGATGACCTCACAGCTGTTTTCTGACCTTAATGACTCTATGGCTCTACGAAGCAGGGCCGCAGGCACTCTGCCGGCCACATCTGCAGCACCCCAACCCACAGCACCGCTAGGCCAACGCCGAGGCGTTCCATGGGCAGAGTGCAGGCCACCGGGGCACCTTCTCCATCCCACCTGCGGTCACAGCTGCGGCGGGGCGGGCTTTACTCCTAGGCCCTCGCAGGCCGCTGCCCGGCGGGGCGGGCGGCGACGGGAGGCGGGGCGGAGGCGGCAGCCCCGCCGGCACAGGACACCGCCCCGCCGCTGGAGGACGGAGGAGGCGGAGCTCTGCCGCTCGGCCCCAGGTATCGCGCCGCGTCCCGGGCTGGGCGAGGGGCGGCGGGTGGCGGAATGGGCCTTCGCCGCCAGGCCTGCGGTCGCCACGGCAACCGCTCCCCCCCCCCCGGCCGCCGGGCGCCGTGGGCGCGCTGCCCCGCCGCTCCTCCGGCGCCGCCATTGGCCTGCGGACAGACGCGCCCCGCCGGCGGCACATTCGGCCGGCCCGCTGCCCCCGCGGGGTTCCGCCGCCATTGGCCGGCAGGAAGCGCTCGCCACCGCCATTGGCTGGAGCGTGCTGCCAATCGGGGCGGCGCCTGAGTGCCGCCTTCGGAACGTGTGCTGAGGGGGCGGGAGGGGGGCAGCGGCCGCAGCGAGCGTGGCCATCTTGGGTGCGGGCGGGAGCGCGGGGTCCGGAGGGCAGAGCGGGCGGCTCCTGGGGGCTCGGCCGAGGCAGGGTCTGGTCGTGACTCTTCACTCCGCCTTGAGCTACGCGGATCTCCCTCGCTGCTCTTGATAAATCCCTTGCCAGGGGTCTTTTTAGTGCGGGCGGTGGATGAGGTCGGGTCCGGCTGAGCTTAGGGAGCCGCTAGCAGGTCTGCAATTCGTCCGTGCAGCCCCGCGGCTTTCCCTGGAGAGCCGTCTGTAGCCGTGCCAGACCCACCGCAGGTGCGGGCTGTGGACGGGCCGCTGTGACCAGCAGGCTGCCCTGCCTTGTACAGCTCACGCAGTTTACCTTTGGGGCGTGAAGTGTTCTGCGGACACTGGACTCCTTTGTGTTTTCTGCTGAGCGAATTGGTCGTACTTAAGCTCAGAAAATCCTGTGTGGGAATGCGGGTACCTCAGTGTTTCTGAAAGTGAAGTGCTGACGGGGTCTTCTGTAAATGCAACCGTGTGGCTCTGAAAGTCCTTTGTGCTTCATTGGCAATGCTTCATCACGATGAGGACAGCGTGTTGTACCAGAAAACCCCTTTAAAAGAGCTTATGGTGTAACTGGGCTGGTGGTGTGACACACACGTTAATTTAATGATATTTCATTTGGGCCTCAAGTTCTGTGCTGTTAAAGATTGGGATCTTTCCTGAAGTTGAGAGCTGTCTCATACTGATCAGAGTGCAAGGGTACCTGCTAGTAAAAGAAATTCTTTCAGCCTTTGCTACCAGTCTGGGTATTCTGTGGTAGAAAACTGCAGAAAGTGATGCCTAACAGTTGCAGGACATCTACAATTATGGTGAAATTTGAATTATTTCTTAACTAACACTATTTGGTGTGTTTTACTGGGCTGAATCACTTCTTGGTACAAAATGGGCTAGGGACAAGCTTGGTTGTTGAGAACATAACTTGTCTGTTCTGCCAAATTTTTCCTTTGTGATGCTTTTGTCAACATGGTTATCTTTGATCTTGAAATAGTACATATTTATCCTTCTAGGGCTTGCTTTTTTTTTTTTTTTTTTTTTTGTCTTTATGGAAGGCATGAAGATATAACATACATAGGCCAGTGCTCTAAGTGCAAACAGAAAATAAAGAAGGGTTGGCTTTTAAAGAAATTAATCACACCAGTACAGAGAGTTATCACATCAGTTGCTCACTTTGTTACTTGTTTCAATATGTAAATCCTCTCAGTAATTTATTTTATACTTCTGTGTAATCTTCTATCTCAGTCTGCTTGAGCATGGCCATTGACTGGGTAACCTAAAGAGGTCCCTTACAAAATCACTGGTTCTGTTGCTTCATTTAATCAAGTGGAGTTTACAACAAGATTCTGCAGTTGGTTTCTTTGTCTGAAATAGTATTTAGTCTCAGCAGAGGCAATATAGTAAAAAAAAAAAAACAAAAAAAAAACCAGTAGCCTTTGTTTCTCTGCAGATATGAGGGGTTCTTCAAATATCTAGGATTGGGAAGATTATAACAAATAGCTGAAATGGAAATTTCTGCTCACTGGCGAAGCTTTTTTAATTGAGTCTAGTATCTGTATATGTGCTGGCACATATATGTCTCTATATATTTGTCTGTTAAGTTCCGTAAAACAGGATTATCCCTTCAGTTTCAGATGCAAACAGTTGACTTGCTGAATTTAATTACTACATCGTATTTAATGAACAAGATTTTTTTCACACCTCTTTCCATAAAAACAGGCTTCAGTGAAATGAAATATGTAGGCATATATATTATTTCTTTGTAAAATCATACATAAAGACTGTTTTTCTTTAAAATTTTTATTAACATGAACTGCATGCTGAAAGAGTCCACGTGCGCTTCTGCTGGCTTATGGCTCCTTCACAGCTCTTGCTGTTACACTGTGCAGCTTTTTAAGATAAGGGAACTGATTTGTGTGCCAAGTTTTATGCCAGGTATGGGAAAATCCTCTAACCCAATATTGGTCATATTGGAAATAAAGACCTGGTCATTAAGCTAATGTATCAACCAGTGTATATCTAGGATTTGTTTTGTTTGAATATTTGAGCCAAATTTGCAGCTGAGTGTTGAAGGAGGGCTGAAATTCGGTGTACTAAATGGCAGTACCTCCAGCAAACAAGATAACTGGTATGTTTTCTTCTGTTGTTTGCTTTATTCTCAGTGCAGTGAAGACTTTTTGCTTGGGTTTTCTTGTGAAGTTTGTTTCTTGGTACCATGAATTTTTCTTAGGACATCTTTAAAATCTTTTAGAAGAAACCAGGTGAATACCATCAAGATCAGTTAGCGTTCCAATTAATTTTAATTTCCTTGAGATTTTTCTCATAACCATGAAGTTCTTGGTTTTGTTTTACTTCAGGATATTTTCATAGCAATCTGAATCTTTTCAATTGGACCAAACAAACTGAATTACAGGAAAGGTTGGAATACTTTGGAAAGTATATATGCCCGAAGCAGGCTAATTTTACATAATGAGATTAAAAGTTTATTTAAAAAAAAAAAAAAAAAAAAAAAACAACAACAACAAAAAAAAAAACAGGTTACCATCATCTTGGTTAAGATCATCTGCTGAGTACTGATTCTACCAAAGTAAATTGTTATGTTTTTATGTTAGGAGGTAAATAACAAACATGACACAACTGTCTCCCTCAATTTTCTTACTTTCTTCTAATAGTAATATTTTAATATACTTACACCTGGGAAGCAGGAATGCAAAAGTGTATATTCTCTGCCACAAATTCTACTATAATTTTTTTTTTCACTTGCTTCTTGCAGGTTTATTTTTCATTGCAAAAGAAACGTTAAAGAGAGTTACAGAATACATACAAGCTGATCATATTTTAAAATAAAGAATGAAGTGCTTTTCAGTGCAATGGCTATTCTCATTTCAAATGAAGTCTGCGATGATTAAATATTAAAATGATCGATGGTTTAAATTAATATAAGAACTTTTCAGGGGATTATTACAAAGATTAACATTTTTAATGTTTTAATACTTCCGTAGTTTATCAATCACGGGCACAGTGAAACTGTTTTTAGTTAGCAAGCTGATGAACTCATATATCATTGCAATATTATGCATAACATAAACATCATGATGTTGTTGGTAGAAGAGGTAAAGAAACACAGTTTATGTTGTGGCTCGTTAATAATCAGTTTTGGTCTTTGAGTATTTTTTGACAAAGAATAAGCAGGTAAGATTATTATTATTGTTTGTTCATGTGTTGTGATTGTTCTTTGCAAGTAGAATGGCTTGGGTTGGAAGGGATATTAAAACCACCTAGCTCCAAAGCCCTGCTGTGTGCAGGGCTGCCACCCACCAGATCAGGCTTCCCCATCCAACCTGACCTTGAACACCAGGAATGGGGTATCCACAGCTTCTCTAGGCAGTGCTAGTGCCTCTCCACTCCAGGTAAATAAATTTCCTCTCTTAGTTTAAAGCCATTCGTTGTTGTCCTGTCATTATTTAGAGTATGTAAAAAGTTGGTTCTCCTCCTATTTATAAGCTCCCTTTAAGTACTGGAAGGCTGCAGTGTGATCTCTACAGAGCCTTCTCCAAGCTAAATAAGCCCAACTCCCTCAACCTTTCTTTATAGGAGAGGTGCTCTAGCCCTCTGGTTATCTTAGTGGCCATCCTCTGGTCCCACTCCGAAAGCTCCATATCTTTCTTGTACTGGAGCCCCGGTTGTTTACCATTAAAACCAAGATATGCTGTGTTGAATTAGTGGATGCAAGCCCAATAGCTTGACTCCTAGTCAAGAGGGAAAATGGATAACAGGAAAGGAAGGCTACAATAGAAATCCAGAAATAGCTATTGAGCTGGTGAAATGAATAAATGGGAAAAAAACTGAGAGCAGAAGCTTGAAGTGGAGAAGGTGTTTATACCAGAAATGGCAATATGGGTGAGTAAAAGAGCAAAGGTTAGCACTAGGTCAATGCCGAGAGTAGTATTGGGAAGTTGAATTCCAGTGGGCAAGTTGAAGCACATCATTCTGCACACGGGGCCAGTTTGTTGCCAGCTGCTAATGCTGTTATTTCTATTCTTAAGTAAGACAATAAAGTAAAAGACTAAGTTGTATTGCCTGTAGTTGGTTGCCTCTAGCCAGAAAGCCACATTGTTCCTCATGTTTTTCTCACTGAAAATAGAAAAAAAAAAAAAAAATGAAACAAAGTACCTTTTATGTTGTGAACTCTCTTCTGTAGAAGGGGAAACAAGTTGGGTTGGAAGTGTAGTAGATCTTAAAGTTTGAATTGTTTTCTTTCTGCCTGTACTGTGTGATGTAAATGAAGAAAAGGTTAAGTTTACCCATGGTAATTCTCTTTCACATTTACATTATCAGTCAGCCTTTGTAGCTTTTTGTGCTTTCATGTATTGTGTTTTCATTGTAATCTGTACATATGAAGTTCTCAATTCTACAAACTCATATGCTCGAATTTATTCATTATTGGCTCTGACAGATGTGCTCTGGAAGCCTTTGCTACTAGGTTTAAGATGCTGCCAGCTGGTCGCCTTCTTCCCAACTCCAGCTGCAATCTGTAGGGAAGAGCCCACGATCCATGTATCTCAGTCACAGGAGTCTGCTTCCTTTCTCCTTAACCTAAATCTACTTTTCAGTA